CGCAGCTCCACGCGTGCCAACTATCGCCCCTCCTTTTTTTTTGTTTTTGGTCTGTTCCCCTCTTCTTCTTCTTTCTTTTTTCTTTTTTTTTTTACAATTCTGCGGCGGTGGTCCGCCCCCCTTTTTTCCTCGCGGGCCCCGGGGAAGTACGTCGCCTACCCCCCCCCCCCCCCCCTGTCAAGCGCCTGAGCCCCTCCCGCACGGCAGACGGGGGGTGTGGGTTATTGCAGCCGGCACCACACGCAAGCAGACACACACACACACACAGACAGACAGACAAAAACAAAAAAACAAGACAAAACAGAAGAAAAACAAAAACAAAAAGCGAAAACTAATCGTACAAGAAGCAAAACCCCGTAAGCAAAGTGCGTTCAAATAAATAGGTAAATGACAACGGCCCCGTGCGAGGAAGGAAGGAAGCAAGCAGGCAATCAAGCCTCCTCGTCGCCCCACGCACCCGGCTTCGTTCCTCACGCAAAGAAAAGTATACACATGAATTTGTCCATTCATCCCGTGGTGGATGAATTGTTTGGTACAGTGGGAGAGAGAGGAAGAGAGAGAGAGAGGTGTGGCGCACTCCACCGTCGCCGCCCTCCACCGTCGCCGCCCTCCACATTCCTGCATGCCGCTCCCATCTGCTCTTTGTGTTGTGATTTGCTCTTCATTTCTTTTTCTTTTATTTCTTTTTTTTTTACGCGGAGGCGCTGGGTCCCGGGGACAATGCAACGACGACGGCAGCACCGTCTGTTGGGCCCAGTTCACGCCCCGCCACAGGGAGCAGCACAAGGGCGGCGGGACGGAGGGACCCGTGCCCCCCGCTCGCCCCACCCGCTGGTCTACAGCGACTGCTTGCCACAGAGCACATCCTTCACGAGCTGCATGTTGGCGCGGAACGACCACCAGGGGTGGTTGAACGACGTTGGGGCGATGCCCTCCACCGCCACGTCGCTGGCCCAGGCGACGCCGTAGCCGACAATGGGGGCGCTAACGGCGCACGCCACCGAGCCACGCTTCACCAGCGACAGCAGGAGGAGGAGGCCGGCAAGCATGGTCCCAGCGACGTGGCCCCGGCGCGTCCACAGCTGCATGTGCTTCGAGAGGTAGTAAAGGTAGAACTCATTGAAGTTGGAGAACTTAACGTCGAGCTTCAAAGACAGGCCAACCATCGCTCCGTTTGTTTGTCTGCGGTTCCCTTCCTTTTTTTTTTACTTCTCTGTGCGTTTGTGCGGGTGTCTGTGGTGGGTGTTGTATTGGGGTTTCTCACAGGTCGTGTGTGCAGCTGCTCACGGGTGGGAGCGGGGGGAAGGCGTTCGTGGCATTTGCATGCAGGCGGGCAAAGACGCGAAAAAACACGACACCAAACAGAAACAGCAAACACACGCATATGTGTATTATATGCATATATATATATAGGGAGAGAGAGATGTATTTATACATACGCACAGGCGGCCCCTCGCTGCAAGTGGCGAGACAAGGGAAAAAGAGCGAGAGACAAAAGCCGCCTGCCGGC